TTAATTATTACCAGTGTCATCTTATTTTCGGACAGTGGAATCTTTTTTAAACTAGACCAAATCAACAATAAACGGTGTTTTTCTGTCAACTCTAACTCATCTCAGAGAATAGAGTTGTTAGCTTTAGAGATTATATTATGTATAACTGTAGACTTTATAATGAGAATAAGGTATAACTAATTCCAGGGGCAGAAATAAGATGCAGAACTTGAGACAAGACAAATAGAAAATGTGGGAGAAGTCAAAACAACAATGTTGATAGATGTAAGATGCAGAATGAGTGAGAGAGTAAACCCGAGATGGATAGCAGGTAGTGTGTTGTGATGACACTGTTGAAAACAATGGAAAATAATGCTGTGAGTCAAAACATAGTATGAAAATAAGCATTCAGAAACAAACTTATGTCTGGTTCACGGAGAAAGGTGTCTGATTCACTGGGAAAGGTGTTTTGTTCACTGGGAAAGGTGTTTGATTCAGTGAGTAAGGTGTTTGGTTCACTAGGAAAGGTGTTTGATTCACAGAGAAAGGTGTTTGATTCACAGAGAAAGGTGTTTGATTCACTGAGTAAGGTGTTTTGTTCACTGGGAAAGATGTTTGGTTCACTGGGAAAGGTGTTTGATTCACTGGGAAAGGTGTTTGTTTCACTGGGAAAGGTGTTTGGTTCACTGGGAAAGGTGTTTTGTTCACTGGGAAAGGTGTTTGGTTTGCTGGGAAAGGTGTCTGGTTCACTGGAAAGGTGTTTGATTCACTGGGAAAGATGTTTGTTTCATTTGGAAAGGTGTTTGATTCACTGGGAAAAGTGTTTGGTTCACTGGGAAAGATGTTTGGTTCACTGGGAAAGATGTTTTGTTCACTGGGAAAGGTGTTTGGTTTGCTGGGAAAGGTGTCTGGTTCACTGAAAAGGTGTTTGATTCACTGGGAAAGGTGTTTGTTTCATTTGGAAAGGTGTTTGATTCACTGGGAAAAGTGTTTGATTCACTGAGTAAGGTGTTTGGTTCACTGGGAAAGGTGTTTGATTCACTGAGAAAGGTGTTTGATTCACTGAGAAAGGTGTTTGGTTCACTGGAAAGGTGTTTGGGTCACTGGGAAAGATGTTTTGCTCACTGGAAAGGTGTTTGATTCACTGAGTAAGGTGTTTTGTTCACTGGGAAAAGTGTTTTGTTCACTAGGAAAGGTGTTTTGCTCACTGGGAAAGGTGTTTTGCTCACTGGGAAAGGTGTTTTGTTCACCGGGAAAGGTGTTTTGTTCACTGGAAAAGGTGTCTGGTTCACTGGGAAATTTGTTTGGTTCACTGGGAAAGATGTTTGGTTCACTGGGAAAGATGTTTTGTTCACTGGGAAAGGTGTTTGGTTTGTTGGGAAAGGTGTCTGGTTACTGGAAAGGTGTTTTGTTCACTGGAAAAGGTGTCTGGTTCACTGGAAAAGGTGTCTGGTTCACTGGGAAAGGTGTTTGTTTCATTTGGAAAGGTGTTTGATTCACTGGGAAAAGTGTTTGTTTCACTGGGAAAGGTGTTTGGTTCACTGGGAAAGGTGTTTGGTTCACTGGGAAAGGTGTTTGGTTTGCTAGGAAAGGTGTCTGGTTCACTGGAAAGGTGTTTTATTCACTGGGAAAGATGTTTGTTTCATTTGGAAATGTGTTTGATTCACTGGAAAAAGTGTTTGGTTCACTGGGAAAGATGTTTGGTTCACTGGGAAAGATGTTTTGTTCACTGGGAAAGGTGTTTGGTTTGCTGGGAAAGGTGTCTGGTTCACTGGAAAGGTGTTTGATTCACTGGGAAAGGTGTTTGTTTCATTTGGAAAGGTGTTTGATTCACTGGGAAAAGTGTTTGATTCACTGAGTAAAGTGTT